TGCAATAATGTTTTAACAATTTTCTAAAAATTTGACAAGATTAATTTCAAGATCACGAGAAAAATAAAATTTATTTATTTAAAAAATTGGTTTAAACTCCGAATACATAATTTCTTAATTGAAGTTTTTCACTGAGAAAAAATTAAACGCATAATGTGACTGCACTCTTAATTGTCTAACACACTCAGGTTATTTTCTTATTTACAGTTCGAAAATCAGCCTTGACACTCTCCCCTTTTTTTTCCTTTTAAGCGCGGCCAATTTAGGAAGAGTGTACGCCTTATATATATTCACTCGCTGTCTTTCTACGGAAGAACGAGAAGACACAGTAGAACGACTCGCGTGAGGCAGGTCAGCGACGTCGGCTCGCGACGAGGGGAGCGCTTCGTTTTAAACGGGCTTGATCAAGCCATTCGCATTCCTCGTAGTTCATGCGTTCGCCTCGCCCGTTGCCTCGCAGATTCGTCCTTCGTGTTTGTGCGACGCGACGAGACGCAACGCAACGCAACGCGACGCGATGCACGCAACGCGACGCGGTACGCTTCATGTCAAACGAGCGTGTGATATTCGCGCGTTAAGATTGAAGATTCGGGGGCGACGAAGTCCACTGAAGATGTTTATTACATACTATTACAAGTTAAGTATGATCATTTGTTCCCGATACGAAATATTTTCATTTCAGTACACGTGTACTGATTTTTATCTTTATCAGTGTGATATATATTGAACTACTATCTCTAAAGGTTAATATTAATTGAAATATTGTAAACTCGTATCCACAAGAGTAAAAAAATACTCACGACACTCTACTTTTAATAGAAGAATAATATTTATAATGCTTTGATTATAGCATGCGGAAAATATTTTATTGATATTTTATTGTTTGTATCTCCATGATTTATCATTTGCGTAAATATTATTTTTCACTCTAAATGGATTTTACAAACGCGACAAACAATGTTATTGCGGGTTATAAATAAATCATAGGGATTTATACAATTTAACGTCGTAAATTCAATTTCTGGTGTTTTGATATAAAATGAAAAATATATGTTCAAATATTATGTTCGAAACCACTTAATAATTTCCTTTTAATAAAAATGTCAAATAAAAATAGTTTTAAAATTTATGATAAAATATGTTACTCTATAATAATAATAATAATAATAATAAAGAAAAAATCTTTTTTCTCCCTGATTTCTTTTCAGATGTATTGACAAAATCGCAACTCGTCTTCGATATGTTATTATTACGAGAACGACAATCGTGCACAAGCTTCTTGACAATGCAACACGGTAAAGCACGTATATGCGTCATCATTCCGTAGCAAATTGCGCGCGAAGCTGATAGGTTTTGTTCAAGGACACATAGTTGCGAAGGCGAATAGCGCATTTTTCTAGACTATTGATTGCACATCTACCGAATATAGGGTAATATTCAATCTGCTTAATAGCATAGTCTGCCACCGTCCTCGATTTCATCTCGCCGTACATGATGACAGTGAGATATCACGTTTTCCTTCTTTTTCCCTACTTTTCGTTCCACTTCTGCACTTAAACGAAATACTCTCGTTATTCTTTACGCAGGAGTAAACTTGCCTATTTATTGTTAGCCAAGAGAATGCGTTTCCCGATAGTCGACTTGTGATAGCTTGTAAATTGCTTGTATACTTGCAAGCTTTACTCGAGAAAATAAGAACTCTTAATCGTACGTAGCACAAAATATATTATAATTGCGTCAAAACTGTCGATCAATAAAAAATTATTAAAATAAGGAATAAACTATGTGAAAAAAATTTCATACATATGCGTAAGAAGGAATAATTTTTCCATATATCTTATGTTCTAGCTTCAATTATGAGTATTAATCGCAAATCGTAATTTTCTGAATAAACAAAAAAAGGAGAAATACCGTAATTCTTTTAAATATAATGAGGGAAATGTGATTTATACTTTTTAATTCAACGATTTAAATTTAACATTTAAGAAATAAATTAATTTGAGAATAAAACATGAAAAACATTATAAAAGTTTACATTATACGATATAAAAGATATTTATATCGACTTTCTTTCTAATTCTTTTTCTATCTTTTTTTCTTTTCAATGCAATTTAATGATCGAGGTCGTTGAAATCGATATTCGCACGTTGCAAGTCGAGGACATCACAATTATAGGATAGGTACAAATTAATATCGTACATCATGTACGTTAGCAATATGACAGTTTATTGCATAAGGTACTTTAAATTTTTGTTTCTTTATAATTTTATCGAAAGAAGAAAATTATATAGATTAAACAATTTTTTTACTATTTTTACACATATCAATATAACCATAAAAATGTCTTTCATGTATATCAGTACAAATCATAAAAATTCTGCATTAAAAAATGTTATTGTCCTAAGATTTAAACTTTTAATTTTATCATATATTTATATATTTTATATATTAAATGTTAAATATATATGTGTATTCATTCTTTCGCATCATAAATTATATAATTTCGTATATATATTTTTCTCTCTTTTCTCTCTGTGTATTATATAATATAGATAAATATTGACTTATAAAAAATTATTGAAAGTGTAATTATAAAGTATTACTCAAGTACAAATCTAGAAATGTCGAGTATTGTTAACCATTTTCAATTGTTTATATCGCAGCCATACGATGGCGATATGTGTGTTTATGCGAGCGAGGGAAGATTCACAATCAGTTTTATATTTTCGAACTTAAAGAGTGACTCGATTCAAAAGGAATTATCGTCGGGATGCAAGAAACATTGGAGATTGTGCGGCACTAACAGGCTGCGATTAGAAAATCGACGCGAGCAAAATAAGAAATCCGTCTTGGACGAAGGGAGGGATATGCCTCGGTTCGAGAGGCGGCGAATGCGTGCGCGACTGAGATTGTGCATAAGAGAGCAATGTATCGCGAGAGAGGCGCACGAGTCCTTAACAGTGGGTCACGCATGGGAAACTGGAACAGTTTCATCTCCAGGCGGAAGACTCGATTTTTCTCCGCGGGAGAAATCTACCGATTTTTCTTTCGATCGCGAACGTTTCTAGGTTACAAGTAAATAAGATCGCACGCGTCGCGCAAGGGAATGTCTCCCTATTTTCGCTCCGCGACATAATTTTCGTCGACACGAGAGGCAAACAGCGTCGTGAATCGTGCGTCTCGTGTGTGCTTCTCTTCTTCTCTGTATGAGTAAAAAAAAGAAAGAAAAAAACTTGCCTCGAAATCTGCGTTTCGCGATGTTATCCAAATTTTACGTTGTCGAGACACGAAACGAATTAGCCATTTCCTTTCCGATGTAAATATTGCAAATAATTAGGAGTAATTATAATTAATCATTGTAGCTCTTAAATACATGAATAATTAAATCTCATTATGATAATCATGTAACAGCGTCCCAATATTTTATCTCGCGATTATGAATAATTCACGAATGCAAAAGTTAAAGGATTAAACACTTTATCGTTGCACTCGCGTGTTTACATATTCAAAATGCGAACGTAATGTGTCTCGCACGTGTCTCTCGCGCCGATATAAAAATATCGTTCAATGAAACGGACAATATTTTTCAGATAATGCATATTATCTCGCGCGAATTTTGCGGAAGATCCATTGATCGATGGTCAGATTTTACTCGATGTGATAAAAATTGGCATATTATTTATACATGCATGAATGCGCGTATATTATTGATCATTGATCCTCTTACCTAAGTAACATGACCGCGATAAGATTCGCCAGGCACTGTTATCAGTAATATATATACATACGTGAGTAATAATAACATTAAAATCATATCGATCGGAGGAGGAAACGGAGCGATGGATATTCGACGCGTAGCTCAACACACTTTTCTTGTAAAAATCGTAAAGCTCATAATAGCGCGACGAATCGATTAGTCGCGGCATAAATCTCTAGATCTCGACACACCGTGCAAACATCGTGTTTTTAACGCATCTCGCGTGCGCTCGACATGTTTGAACGTTTCCACTTGCTTTTGCGCGATGAAAGAAACCGTCTAATAGAAAATCAACCAATGGATATTTCGCGAATCAATGACTATGCGCTAAAAGTGTACATATGCGAGTATTATTCTGTATATACTGAACAACAAATCTTTCTTCCTAGCACAACGAGATCATAAAGGAGAAATATCATTTTATGGGCAGGTATCAAATTCGTATTTTTTAATTTACAATTATAATAGTATTTGTTCAAAAATCTAAATTATATCTTTTATAGACGTCCCATATTTATTCTGGATTTAATCGCGTGCATACGTATGCAGGGTCAGATTATTTAATAAAGTCGAAAGCGAAAAAGAATAATTTCATTATACTAATTCAATTATATTCAATTATACTAATAATTCAAACCAATATATACTATTAAATCATTTAACTTTCGATTGCCTATGTTTTATCAATTATCAATATCAGACTGTATATATCTTTATATATATATCGAAAGATTTTTTGATGTGTCAAAGACACATATCAGAACTTTTGTAAAATTAGTATCCTATTTTTCCAAATTTAATATAACTTGTAGAATTTGCCTGCTCTCGTAAAAAGAGTTTTAGAGATTTTGTGATATATTAAAAAAAATTCTAAAAGAGTTTTCCATTTAAAATAATTTAAAAATGAGAATTTTCAAGGATATACTAATTTTTTTCATTTGACAAAATAATTTAAAAATGGATAAAATTTTTTAATCAATTATTTTAAAATACATAAATTTTATACAAAATATTGATGAGTCATTTAATATTTCTCGATAAAATTTTCTCGTGAAACCATATCTTGGACTTTAAACAAAAAATACCAAATATTTTAGATAAATTTTTATCTTGCATAGACACTTAGAAAATTTCTATCCGAGAAATTGAAAAGTATCGCTAGAACTCTTTTACTTTTATTTTCAGGCGCGCCTTTCCAGCATTTGAAATGAAAATGAACATAAGAATCACAGCTGGTTCTTACCTGGGAGCATTGATGATCGGCCGGCCCATTGCCCGTTGCTGGCGCTTCTCGTTAACGGGAAGGCGCAGATAATCCTGGTCGCCAAGGAGGAACAGATCCTTTGAAATAATCATGTCCACCGCGGTGGCTGCCGATTAACAGCTGGCCGCCTCTTCGGTTCGGTCTTCTAAATGGGCGATCTGCCGCCTAGGCAATGTGGCACGTAGACAACGTGACCGCCACACACGAGTTAATTAGAGCTTCACTTTCTTGACACCGAATCACGTTCATCGATGATTAAAACGAACCTGTTACTTGGTATAAACGCGCACTCGCCGTTAAAATATACAGTATATCGCGTATACGAGTAATAATAGAGAGATTTACCGAAACGCGTGCCGATAATGATTACTCTCACACGAGTGAACGAGCGATCGCGAAGTCTTTCTTGGAAAGAACGCAGATACCAAACGGAATCCAGACTCTGAAGGTGGATGATTCAGCGATCGTGATCGAATCTTGATTGTGCTGGTTATCGCAGTTCGATCTTAACGTCTAGGACGACTATGAGGTGTGCAATTCCTCGTGATGTTTCTTCAGTAGAGTCAATCGATCTAAGCGCGACGATTGAGTTTGATAGAGAAGCATGGATCGCGGGATTCTGGATACGTCCACGCAATCGTCTCATTGAATCGTGATAGTCTTTTTGAGAGTGGAATCGAGAAAGCTCTTGAGTTGTCTCTGATAGAACCAATCGGTCTTTGGAGATCAGAACTTTAAGCCCGTTGTACAATGTTACATTGCGCGTGTTGAATTCCGTGGATACAAAGGAGCAGTGTGATAGTTTTCCAACATCAAACTTTTTGAAAGAATAAATGCTCCGACGACGAATACACGTAAAAGGATATGGATCGCAAAGTTTTGCGCACAGATCAAGAAATAATTTTTTTGCAATTCGCTATCTCTCTTCGTTTCATGTGATAATGAAATGGACGCTTCTTCTCTGAAACAAAAAAGATATAGGTATATTATATTTTATCTATAACGGATGTAATCGTACGTATATTTGTGTAATTGTTACATTTATAAACACATTATAATTACAATTTATTCGTCAATGTTATTAAATTCTCTTATTACAATCTCTGTGTAATATTTATTTGTAATATTTAGAAAACTTTATTGTATATGATTTTCTCTCGATTTAAAATGTTAAAATATTATATATAAATAATATGTAAAATATTCTCTCTGTCTCTCTTAAAAAAATTATTCTGTAAATAACTGACAGTTTTGTTTCACTATAATTTATTTTCAATTTAATTAAGCTATTTAACATAGTTATTACAAAGAATTTGAATTTAGATGTTGCCCTAAATAAATTACTTATGTAAATTTTATCATGAATAATTCAATATTACTTTAAATATTTTCACACTTACAAACAAAATGAGTCGAAAATAAATTAGATGAAAATATGTAACATATTTTTAAAGATTTATTTATATATTTAAATAAGGAAGGTTTCCATTAAGATAACGCAAATCAAGATTTATTATTTTATAATACATTATATATGTATACTCAATTCTAAAATATATGTATACTCAGTTCAAATAAAGTTTTTTTTTATATTTATTCTTTCTGAACTTGCAACTATATCACACAGAAAAAAATAAATTGAAATAATAATAATCGATATATTTAAAATATATCTCTATTCAATTGGATTCTTGATAAGAAATCTTACATTCGACAATATTATTATAATTTCGCATTATAATTGAATATATTTATATTCTCTGATAGAGCATCATATATTTTGATATACGGTATATTTTTAATAAAACACTAACATTAATACTATATTATTAAAAAAATAAAAGACAATGCCACAATGTTAATTAGCTCCATTTTACATAGTATTTTTTATTTGATTCGCCCAATTTCACACACCAACTGTTAAATATTAATTACGGGCGAATGAAATTTACGACTATGCTAACCAAGATTTTGACACAAGTGTTTCTAATCTACTAGTTTTTTGCAAGTAAGAATTGTCACAATAGAGCATGATTTAATTAAAAAGCATTCGTTTCGTCTCCGATTTTCTTCGCGAGATAATTATTTTTCAATCCGTTACGTGATATGATCTAATTAACGCGTAAGCATATCGAAAGATTTTGAGATGTTTCCTCTCTTAATAAAAATCACAATAAACGTGTAAGATACAGAAGCAACACACTTTTATTTAATTTAATTATTCGATAAATACCAGTATCGCATAAAAAATTTTATATTATTATCCTTTTATAAAAATTTATTCTTATAAGATTTTTAAATTATTCTCTTAGCTTATAATATTTCAAAGATAATTGCAATGATAAAAAATATATAATATTTGCGAAAAAATTATGTAAACATACAATATCATCGAGAAAATTTTATTATAATGAATAGAGATAAAACAATATATATTTTGTTACAAAATTGATCTTGTACATATAAATGATTCCTATAATAAATAAAACAGAAAAGTATAATAATTAAATTGAAGACTTATGTTAAATTTAATATCTGTATTATTTATATCTGTACTATCTATATATCTGTAATTAATCAATCTGTCGAAAGTTTATTATAACGATATTCTGCTATTTTTACGATATCATGAAACATTATTCTTACGAAAATAAAATTCCTATGAAAAAAGCGATACGGGCGTTATCGAATAATTATTTTTCCTGAATATTTGAGTAAATATTGCATCACTGCAACTGTAATGATATAACATGCATAATTATAACAACGAAATCAATAGAATTCCGCAATTTTATAATGTGTAAATATATATATTATCGACTGTGTCCTTTATTTATAAAATATTCATAAAATTCCATGCAATATTCATCGAATTAGTAATCGTTTTTCACAGTATTACAATATGCAACTCGTTGATCATTATTTTTTTTCAATCTTGGCACGAAGCCGCGCGTTACTTGAGTGATCTATTTCACGATCGGAAGGATTTTAAAAGTCGTCGCGAGATCATAAACTTTACAAGACGCTGTTATACAATTTCCTTGGACTTGAGCGCGCAAGGACGTGAGAAAAATCGCATATAAACTCGTTCCAATCCGCTCGATTAGAATGTACGACTCGCGCTATTGGAATCGTTCCAAAGTCAATTTGTTCCTTTCGACGCTAAAGTCGGCGCGTCTAATTGTTCTCTCGTAACTTGAAACTTATGTCGACGACGGTCATTACGAACGCGATGAAAGATACGCGCGCGATAAGATCAAGGTTTGAGACTGTTGTAGAGTTGTTTCGCAGAATCACATTTATAATATATTGCAGACACAACGATTTACATAAAAGTCCTCTCCGTCGTATTTAGGGGCATGGAATTCTTCGCGCGCGGACAAACAGATTGCGAAATATATATGCTCGTCAATGGTCGGAGGACTGAATGGCAAAAGGTCACGATACGTTACTCGTGATATTCGTGAAGTGAATTGACCGTCGCAAGTGATACCAAGTGCAAATTCAAAGTCGAGAATTCAAGACGAGCCTCTTGGACGCTGGAAAAAAATATTGTACGCGCGCGCGCGACTTACATTAATCGTTCCCTCAATTATTATCATGATGATTTAATTCTAAGGATTTCGTGATGACGACGAAGGTCGATGTGTTATGGAAATAGCGAACGTAGCCTTGACCGCCTCGTTGAATGTCGCGTAATAGATTTTGCATTGCACCGCAAGGAAATGATAATCCTAGAGATATTAACGGTACGAGAGAGAGATGCAAGTTGCAGCATTGGTGTAAGTTAACTCGCTTGACATAGGCAAGCGCGGATATTTATTTCTCCAAGTTGCAACTCGTTTGTCAGGCATATGTAATAAATTCTTGTTACGAGAAGCTCTTTTGAGCACAATTAATGTGACGGAAATATTACAAGAAGAGTTGTTTGTCGAATTTCCATGAAATGTCATTCAAAGTATCATTAATATTTTTAAATTCTATTTTTTACTAATATGTATAAGTACTCATATACATTTAATATAATTATATAAATAAGTACTCATATATAACATTTTTAATAGATATCTGTATTTTGTTCGTAGAAGCACCCAATAAGATGTAGAGAAGTATAGAGAAGAGAGAAAAAGAGAGAGAGAGAGAGAGAAAATAAAAAGATACTATAATAACAAGTATGTAGCAATCGCGATGAGCATAATATAAAAATATATATTATAATATATATTATAATAGATTTTATATTTTTACTTTGAACAGACAAAAAAACAAAACAGAAGAAAGAGAAAAGAAGAGGCAGAAAGAGAAAGAGAAAAGAGAGAAAAACTTTATGTAAATAGGTTGCTAATTGATAAAATTATTCTTATATTTAATCTATTATTTTTATTATATTTGATTAATCGTAGGATATATTTAATATATAGCAAAAGCATTTAATATAAAGTATCGCGAATTTTTTTATAACAGTATCAGACTGACATTCTTTTATAATTCTTGTTCGCAATAAATATCTGTGTCTGAAGATATGGAACAAATATATACAAATATTTATTTATTTAATTTTTATTATTAATTAGTGAATAAGGCTAAGAATTATGGACGCAGATGGTAGTGCATAATATCAAAAGTATGTATATTATAAGAGAAAATTCATAGAGATCGAGAGAGAAATTTTACATATAATAAAAACGCAAACCATACAAAATAATAAATAAAAAATTTGTCGACAGACGTTTCGACCTTCCTCCGAATCCTTTTCAATGTCACAAAATAAACTTATTGTTTCTCTAATTTTTTTTTATTACCGAGTTTGTCATTATGTAAAATGTGGTTGCTCTGCTCTTGTGCTTTTTTATTTTTTATAAATAATTTTCCTGCCCTTTTACATCTCAATTATTTTTATTAATTTCTGCTCTTTGTATAACGAATAGTTGGCATATCGATTATGATGTGAGAGCTAAGAGCTCTTTCTAATCTTTCAATTATATCAACGATTTTAATGAAGGACATAGGCAAGGTGAGCTTCCTAGTTTTGCGTTGCCTTAATCTCTCTTATTATTTTTACATTTACTGCGTTTTCTTTATTGTGATTTTTTTTGTTAACATCAATTTTACATATTTGCGACATAATTTATGCGACTCTACCGTTTTTTTTTTCTATTAGTTTATAGCATTGACTCTTTGTGATTCAGTTAACTTTCAAATAATGAATATAAAACTTTCAATAAATTTTTACATTTATTTTCTGACATTGAAAAAGATTCAGAAGAAAGTCGAAACGACAGATTTTATGTATCTTTGCATTTCTATTTTATGTAAAATTTCACCATCTCTATGAATTTTCTCTTATACTTTTGAATATTATGTACTGCCATTCTTAAACACAATGACAAAAGCAATATACGGTCCGGATGATAACAAAACGCAATAAAAAAGAGAGGCTAGAAGACTGTGCAGGATGTTAGAGCGTAAAAAATAATAAAAGACTCTAAGTAAGAGACATATTAATAATCAGTTAGATATAAAAATACATATGTACGTTTCGATCTGTTTAAGAGCCTTTTCAATGTTCAAGAAGTCGTTAAAAAAGAAACAAAATTCAAATTAAAAATAATAATAACAGAGCGCGGTTAAACAAGGACAAGCACGATAGGAAAAATATCATTGGAAAAGATCGAAACGTATTTTTATATCTAACTGGTTATTAATATATATTAATATATCTCTTACTTACAGTCTTTTATTATTTTTTACGCTCTAACATCCTGCACCACGGTCTTCTAGCCTTTCTTTTTTATCGCGCTTTCTGATTCACTAATTAATAATGTACGTCACATGAACCTTTTCTTTAAAAATGTGTATAATTTTCAAATTTTTATCATCTTTTCTACAATATACATCTTTTGTACATATCTCCTCTCTTTTATGTAAATATTATTTCTCTGAAAACGATCCTCTTTTCAACGAATTATTTAAACCGGCGATCGTCAGACCCGGCCAGTCTGACAATCTGTCCGATAATCGTTCGTCCTGCGACGAAAAAATGCGAGTGACCCATATTCCTTTCGTCGTTCTCGCCAGCTTGACACTCGGGATATCGAACGATTAATTACGAAATTCGGAGACACGTACCTCGTAAATCTCGTCGACGGATTTACCGGCGGCCGTTGCTCCCCGTGGTTGCCGGTGCCGGTGGTGGAGACGTCGAATATCCCGTGCGAGGTCCCCGGTAGATTCACTGCCTCTCGACTCGGCTCTCGTCGTGCGAGCAGCGAGCAGCAGCCGGCATCTCCTCTGTCGTCGAGATCGTCGTCGTCACGAACACCGCCGGTCGCGCCCTGATGGTCGTCGTCGTCGTCGTCGTCGTCGTCGTCGTCGTCGTCGCTCCTGTCACGCGCACACTACACACTAGCAGCATCGGGCACGAGCATGCGGCCATCGCGCAACGACGGCGCGCAGTCAACGAACCCGCATTTCTTTTCGCCCGAACTTTTGTTTTCCCTTTTTTTTTTTCTTTCCTTCGCTCGTGGGCGCGAGAGAGAACGACAGAAAGAGAGGGAGAGGGAGAACCTCGCGCACCGTCCTCGCTTATATATCCGCGGATCTCCCGACACACGCGGTTTCTCGCGCGCGCGCGCGCGCACACGTACGCACGGATACGGATGTATAGGTGTACCCCGGTGTAGCCGCTTTACACACCAGGAACAACCGACCCTCCCGGTGTCACTGGCTTCTTCTCTTCTTTTTCCTCTGCCTCCACCTCTGCCTTTGCCTCCTACTCCTCCTTTTCCTCCTCCTCCTCCTCCTCCTCCTTCTGGTGCTCCTCTTCGGCTGCGCGCTGTCGTCTCTATCGCGCGCGCGCGCGTCCGCGCATACTCGCGCACCTGTAAGGTTCTATATATCGCGCGCGAGCGCGCACTCGCGACGTCCGGCGTACGGGTGTGATGTCCGCGTATGTGTGTGTGTGTTAGGGCGCCGAGTACACACGAGCCGGCGCACGCGCGCGTTTCACGTTTCTCCTCGCTTTCGCACGTGCATGTACGAAGGGAGAGAAGGAAAGAAAGAGGGATACCCTTCCCTCTCGTTGCTCTCGCGACGGCGGCGGCGCGCAATCGTTCACTGACCCGCTCTCACCGACACAGGCTCTCGCGCACGCACCACCCGTGCACGCGCGCACACACGCACACTCGCAGGCCGCGCGCGCGCCCGATTCGATTTTCCGATACAATCTTTCCCGTCGGGAGAAACAAGAGCGGACGCTCGTCGAGAGGCGCGTTCTGTGTTTGGTCTCGTATAACTGTCGGGATGCGCTCGCGAGTCTCTCGTTCTTTGCGATGCGCGAGATAAAATAAACAACGAGAGAGATAGCAGCTCGGGTGTCGATTGAGAAAAAGAAAACGTTATACCTCGTCTCCTTCTTTCCTCCTTCTATTTTCAGGCGGAGCGTGGATTTTCGCGAACGGTAAAGCCCGATAGCACGCACGTAAATGTCTCTCTCAGACGACAACAGGTCGACGGGCGGGCACTCGGTCGGGATAATGACAATCGTGAACGTTATTATCACCGCGCGAGGCAGAAGAGGCGACAGCGCCGTAATAACCTGCACCTGTCGCAAGAGCGTGAAGTTGCCGCTGCAAGTTGTCCACGTCCAGTCCACTAGTTTCCTGCACTTTGCGCTCCTTCTCCTGCTCTTTCATAAACATCCCCGTCCTCCGCTGGCTAGTTAATGGCATATTAGCCTCTCGGGCGGAATCGCGGACCGCCTGTCATCGGATTCTCCCGCGAGACTGTCAAAACAGACCGAAGCTCTAATGTCGTCGACTCCCTTCTCGTTTATTCCTCGCTATCCGTTATTACACTCTTTTTCACGATTTTTTACAGCTCGTCATCGCGCGACATTCGAAACATCGGTTTCCGCTGATCACTTTGCGTTGTTTCCCAAGCGAATTTTTCTTCGTGATATGAATTTTCGCGTCCCTCGAGATTATTCTCTATGCTCGATTTTTCTCGATTTTTCAAGTTCGGCGGTCTTCGCATCGATCTCGTATCCTTCTAAGTCCGACCAAGAGAAACGTCAATTCTTGTCTTAATCTAATCTAATTTCGCATATTCTTGCAAAATGTCCGTTAGGTAAAGATAAGACCGCGATTCACGTCGGTCGGGTGTATATTACTGCCGCACCGATCAGCCGTTCCTTACGTTCTCGTTTCGATATCTCGCGGCAAGACTCGGTTCTCGCGCGCACGAGCTCGCGACACGACGCCCGCGACGGTCGGATGAAGACTGAGTCAAACGCTAGTCGTTGTACTCCATGTATCGGCCCGACGTATCCCCTCCCTTCCCACGCTCGCCGCTTTCCTCCACTCCCCACCACCACACGTGCTGCCGCTCTTTTCTCTCGCTCTTTTTTTGCCGCTCTCGCGGCTACTATCGGCTCGTGTCAAACTTCAATCCTATCTCACTCATTTTTTACGCGCGTGTTTACAATCTTGCTACGAATTTACGGAAAAATCGAAAACGCTTGTCGCGCGAGAAATGATTCCAAGCCAAGTCTGAAATGCAAGCGAATTTTTCAAGGGTTTTTTTAGAGCTTATTTTGCAAAAATATTGATGAAAATTTCCTTAGAGAGAGAATGTTAACAAAGAAATTATTTTCATTAAAAAAAAGGAAATATAATAGTTTGCTGGAGCTGCGTCAAGTCATTCTGTATTATTGCAAGTGGATTAGATAAAGGAAAAAGCGGCTTATATAGAATTTACAACACTAATATACAAACAGTAGAATATTTAATATCATAAAGTAACTTGAAAATTGTATCTCAATATTTTTGCAATATACATTTTACATACATTATATATTTTAATCGCACAATATACAGAATATCGTATATGATCAGAATGTATGTTTATGCTCATTTCCATCTCTCGCCGAAGCAACCAAGTTATGGCAGTACGTTTTACATTCATGAATGACAAAGCGGTACAAAGCAGAAGCTAGATATAGTATTTTATTGACGATCGCGTCAAGTAACGGGTCAAAAGTTCGCGTCCTGTTGCACTATGGATGCGCTAAGAATCGTGTACGTTGTGTTATATTGTTGTCAGTTTCTCCTAAACGATCTTCGTTGATTTAATCTAAATCGCCATTTTATTCAACCACATAAAGAGAAGAGTGACAACTGGTTTACTTATCTACATTATTTATGTTTACAAAATCAATATATCTAATTCGAATTTGTATTTTGCCCGAAATTTGCATTATCGGATTTTTATTTAATGTATACACAATGTAAACACGTCTCTTACTGAAACAATAAAAATAAACAATATACATATTCTACTTCGTCTTTTCTGTAACTTTTATACTTATTTGTAATATGTAATTATAATCTAACTATTTAACATATGATATATATTTTTCTTTTCAAATATAAATTTGAAAATTCAGGAAATTATATATACAATTATATATACTTGGACAGAGAATATACTTGTGACTTAATATAATAATAAAAGTTTTTAATTTTTAGAGAAGTATTCAAATATTAAGTGTCCTAATAATTGATTAATTTTGCCTATTCTATAAACATATTATTACTAATATTATTTAAATCTCTAACATTTTCGGACGACAGAAACAATTTCTATTGTTACAATTTTAAAACGAAAATTTTTCCAAACTTTATATCCAAATAATTACTTTGCATAAATATATTTTGTATAAAAAATAATATTGATGAAATATATTGATTGTAAATATTCTTTAATTTTTACAAATATTAAATTAATTGAATCTTATAATTAATATGACTGGAATTTCTTGATTTATTACATAATTTTTTAAGGATATTGTTATATATCATTATATAATGTTACATGTTTAATATTTATAATATATTCATCTTTTCTAATATAATATATTGCAATAATAAAATATTTCGCAAAATTAATGAAAAAAAAAGTTTTAGAATAAAATTGTTAATGATTTATTTTTATATATATTTTTAAACAATATGGAAATCACTGCATAATTGATACTTGAATAAATTAATGATTATAAATATTAACCAGAACTGTAAGTAATATTAATCAGTATAATATTAATCAGAACTATAATATATATCTTCTTTATTGTAACCCATTTCTCGGTCCTCCTGGGATATTAATTCGATGATTGCGCTAAATAACATAATAAATACATATAAATTCAAATGCACATAACAATTATAATTATTAACGCTTATTTGCGCAAAATAATGTAAATATATGCAGATTTACTTTAATATTTGTCCTTCAAATGATGACCAAAGTACTGTTGCTGGGTGTGTAATCTTATATTCCAATAAGCAATTTAGAGCGTGTTGAAGTTCCTATATAAAGAAATTATATCAAAATTATTTTCGTTTTCAAAGAACATGTATATATACATACCTGTATCACTTCCGCAGTTTGTGATTCACAAATAATATTTTCAGACAAGTTAAAATTATTAATTATGTATTTTCCTTTTTCTCGTTCTGAAATATAAAATAGATATTATCAATATGCACAATTAACATATTAATAATTAATATCCAAATAGAAATGGGCATATTTACTTATTGATATATTCGGTCCAGTAAACAATAAAATTGGAATACTGATACAAGTAGTATCATGTAAATATATAGCGGTGGAACGTTGCTTCGTAAAATATGTTAAATACTGACTAGGGAAGTTAGAAGCTTTGCAATTTACGCTTGACGGATGCGTACGTACACTTCCATCTTCCGGTGTCCAGCTAAATATTCCATTTTTACTAGCTCTTCTAAAAGATACAAAAAAGAATACAATTTTATAAATAAAAATATATTAAAAAATATATATTTTTTATAAAAATATGTTATACATTATGCTTAATATTATTCTATATAATTTCAATAAAATGTTAATATTATTGTATATGATCTTAATAAAATGATTGTAATTAAAATCAGAATACACAGTAATTCCAATTATCAAAATTTCAAAAAATTAAAACAGATTAAGAGTTGAAATAAATTTGTACCTTATAACAGCAATATTAGGATATAATCCGGCACAAACAATGGTTTTTATTAACGCTACATTGTTTGAATTTCTATTAGCGTTTTTATCGCCTGGATTATCACTATTCAGAAATTTCATTTCATATAAATATTGTGCGAATTGGATTTTCATTTCGGAGAGAAGTTTCAATGTATTGAAAGAGAGAAAATATTCTCGACAAAACTGGCCAGCATTTCCTCTTCGGCGCGCAACTTCGAATCTTCTTAGAGCTTCCGCGAGAGCAATATGATCACTATATTCTCCCATACTGAGTTCTAACTTCTTTTTATTAGCTTCTTCCTCTTTTCCCAACGGGCAGTAGAAAGCATCTTTAAATGTGAGACTAGCAGCAATAGCAAATATTGGTTCAACGCAGGAGAAGAGTGCCGCCCAGAGAATCATTTTTCCTAATAAAATAATTTTTATTATACATATATACAGTGTAATAAGAGTTTTGAATAAGGTTTTTGTAGCAAAAATAAAATTACCTGTTCTAGGATCAAGTGGCAAGTGTGCCAAATGATAACCCAAAGGAGTTAAATGCTCTTCTTCATCTAGAGCATTAAGTGTTCTAAGTAAATTTAGAGACAGATCGATGGCTTTTAGATCTGGTGGATCCATGATACTAGCTAGGAACTCTTTAGCTTTTCCTAATTGTAACATTTTTATTTGCAAAATCACCTCTTCTAAGCGCGTTCGTAACATTTCTGGCAATGGATATTGATCAAATGTCATTTCTCGAGCTTTACTGTACAAATGATAACATTCTCCACTTTTAACCCTATAAGAAACACATGTTAATTTTACAAATATGAACATTTAATAATACACATTATTTTTGTTTGAATTTAAAACTATAAAATATAGAAAAACGCACCTGCCGGCCCTACCGCGTCTTTGTTTGGCATTAGCTAAAGATACCCATTCAGGATTTAAAGTTTGAATGTTATGTGCTATATCAAATCTTCCAAGCTTTGTTTTTCCACAATCTATTACATATACTACATCTTCTATAGTTATTGATGTCTCAGCAATGGAAGTTGCAATGATTATTTTACGAATATCATCAGGAGGTTCTTTAAATATAAGTTTCTGATCAATTGTCGGCATGCGTGAATGAAGAGGGTAAATAATGTACTTATCTATAAAAGAGAGAGAGAGAATTCTTACATTACACATATAAAATATATGCATTACTTTCACTATAATTTTCAATTATTTTTTATCATGATGCTATTGAAAATATACATTATAGATAGTATCAATGGCTAGAATTAAACAATGGTATAAGTTAATCATTAAAGAAAATAGAAAAACTTGATTCAATTTCAAAAATAAATTAAATTTATGATTTGATCGGAATATTAAATATTAAATCAGAACTCACTTCAAGAATTTAGTATACATTGTAACATACATGTAAAACATATGCTAAGTATTCATACACATAATGTTGGATTATATAAATATAAATACTTACTAGGTGGATAACATCCAGACTCTAACATCATTTTATTTAATTGTGATATATCCATCATGCCAGGTAGAAAAATAAGAATAGCTCCAGGCTGTTTATTATTACAGATATACCTAACTAATTTTTCTATAAGCTCTAATGAAAGATTTTCACTATTTGGATTCCGTAATTCACTCAAAACATGTTCTGCATATTTCACCTAATTAAATGTAAATCACATTATAATTATTTCAATTATATTATCACAATTTTTTTTAAATCACTTCTGATATGTATGTATACAAAATATATATCCTATTTCACATATATATAAACACACGCACATACATAGTAATATAAAATATTCTAATAATACAAGCAATATAAAATATTCATATATTTACTTCAGCTCTTAATTGTTGAATGTAAGGTTGTATTATATCAAAAAAATCTTCTTTCTTATGTACTTTCTCTTTATATCTTTCTCTTTGTGCCTTTCCATATTTTCTGTAAACTGTAGATTCTGCTTCAGGGAATCTAAATCTATAAATTGAAAAAATATTAAATATTTATTTAAAAAAAATTCTCTAATATATATGAGTTACCAAAAATTAATTAAAAATATAATTGACAAAAATCTTTATCAAATATATTAATGTTACATCAATAACCTACTGTATAAGTGACAAAACATCTTCTAAATAAAATTCTTGAACTGGATAGGTGAATCCTGGTATATGTATCATTGGACATTCATTATAATATTTTGAAAAACGTTCAGAATTTAACGTTGCACTCATCAAGAGAATTTTTAAATCCGTTCTCTAAAAGAAATAAATTTATAGGTTTTATAATATTTCTATATAGTAATATTTTTCACATAATATATGACACTTGATATCAAATTTTTTCATAGTTTGATACTTAAATATAAATAAAATAAATTTATATAGAATAAAATAAAACATTAGTAAAATATTGACATATAGATACTTAAACTTACTTTTGGAATAACTTGTTTTAATAATGTAATAATGAAATCACTTTCTGTGGTACGTTCATGAATTTCATCTAATATCACATGAGAGAAATCTTTTAATGCTGGATCAGTCTTCATAATTTGTAATAATATACCAGTTGTGCAAAATAATATACTTCCTTGTTCACGCGTTGGAATTCTAAAGATAAAAAAAGTGAATAGATGACTTGGGAATTTTATATCTTTTTTATAACATATAAAAAATATACATTTTTCTTTCATAAAAACATACTTTTCAAGTCGTATCTGATAGCCTACAGATTTCCCAAGTTTTTCTGTTCTTTCTGCAGCTACACGTTCCGCAACAGAAATAGCTGAAATTCTCCTAGGCTGTGTGCAAATTATTCGAGTAATACTACCATTTCCAGCTTCTAATTGATCATCCAATATAAATTGTGCTATTTGTGTAGTTTTGCCACATCCTAAAATTTCAAAGAACAATTATTATTAATAATTTAATTGTCAATCAGAATAGAAAATTTAAATGAAACTCAGCAAATATTTAATGCCCACAAATTAAGTTTTTAAAATTTTTATTTTTAGTTGTACACTCATTCAAATGCAGATAACAGTTCACAAAAAAACATTCTATTTTATATTAGTAAATAATTTTTGCAACTTACCAGTTTCTCCGCTAATGACAATAACTTGATTATCTTTAATCAATTGTAATATTTCTGATTTCTTATGATACACTGGTAACTTTTGTCGAAATTTTAACATATTCAAATAATTATCTTGAATTTGCTTATCTTTATATTCATTTAATAATATTGTGTCCATATTGCTATTTCTCTGCAATTTTACTTCCATACTTATAGCCTTTACAAGATTATGCTCTATATTACCATTTATAATTTCTAAAAATTTTCTTTTAAATTGAGAATCATGAATATGCTGGTACTTGTCATCATATTCAGAGTTACACCTTTCGTCAAAAATGGAACTGTAAAAGCTCTTAGAATTATTTAAAATAGTTTTAATTTTTTGTTCTATGTGTGGTGATAATCTAAGAGTTGGCTGTTCCTTCTTTTTCTCTCTATTTAAATTTCTATAAAATAATCCTATTTCCTTTCCTTTAAGCCCAGGAGGATGTCTTGGCCTTTGTGAATAAGGTCTTCCATAACCAGATGCAGATGATTGCATTTGTTCTAAAAAAATTTCAAAATGTTTCAGAAACATTTTATTTTCTTTTAAGAATATCAATATTCTAAAGCAAAAACAATAACAGTTGTTATATAGTTGAAACATTATTGATATTCTAAGTAAAAATCTTCAATAGTAATAAAATATAAATATTAGAAAATTTTAAATATAGGTTACTGAGATATAATATATAACCACTCTGAGATATAAAACTTAAAAACCTTACTTAGAATTTAATTATTATATAGTACAATATTTAATATTCACACACACATACACACACACACACACACACACACACACACACACACAATCAATAAAAATAAAAACAAAACATTTAAATTTTAAAAATAAGTGACGAAAGTATCATAGATCTAAGATATAAAAAATAGATATCTTAATTAATGTAGCAATCAGATAACATTAATCAAAATTAGTTACTAACTGAAAAATATCATTTGTAATATCAAGAAATTATTCAATTTTACAAAAATAGATAGTACTGAACATTAATGAAGTATATGTAACCTAATAAGCTATTTGACGAAGATTCAATTAGAATCATTTATATAAAAATGATCTAGATCATTCTTAATATCAAGAGATTTTGATTATAAGAATTTATAAAAAAACAAATATATGAAAATATATAGAATTTATAAAAAAACAAATATATGAAAATATATAATAATAAATAATATACATATACATATATAACAAAAACCAATCTTGCTCGCTGTTTATTTCATATATTATTTCTCCAAAAATATATATAGTAAATATTCAACGTATATTAAAAATTAAAAGATATATATTTGAAGCACATTTGTATCATAAAAAACAAACCAAACAATAATATTCATTATGAGAGCAATTTTACCTTCTCTATTAAATCGTCCAAAGGAATTTAGTCTTCCTCTGGAATTGAATCGGTGCGACATTTTTGCGAATAAAAAAAAATTGTGGTATGTCTCAGTGAGATATTTTTTCTCATATACTATTGATTCACTTTTGTTTTCTTTATAACGATAATTACAGATAATTCAATCATCAATGGAGTAGTCTGAAAGCATCGCCGCATTCCTTACGTATCGTTTGTTGCGACATCTATTAAGCCGTAATCACACTACGGATTACGGGCTCGATTGCTGTTGAAATTGATCAATCAGAACAAAGCAATTTGTCGCCCGGCTATTTTGATTGGTTGATTGGTAATTTAAGCCCAAGCCTTAAGAAATTAACCAATCACAGTCGAGTATTCTCTTCATACTTGAGTGTGATTGGTCGGCCTTAGAATGAGTTGAAGGACGACTTTTCATTGAATTTATGTACAATGTGTATGTCTATACATATGCATATACATTTCTATATGTGTATAATCATATGTAGTAAGCTTATTCGATAATTTTTTGTGTTTAATTAAAGCAAGAGTTTGCAAAATAAAAATATCATTCAGTGTGTTTCTATTAAAATGTAAAATAAAAAAAAATTAAATTAATATATTTAACATACATTTATTTATTGCGCTCAATTGAAACATTAACCTAACTTACAACGATAAGAACGAATATCTGTATATTGTTTATATTGAACGTTATCATCATGTTGAATTCGGATAAAAAATCCAATGAACCATATCGTCAATTGGAGGAAGTACAAGGCGCTGAATTAAATGTTTGCGCTCAGAGTACGTCAAGTTGTCATACGAGCTTTGAAAATGGTACTGAGCGCTCGATGGAACTTTCTTCTGTTGTCGTTATACCAGATGGTACGTTATATTAAATTATAAACGATATAAAAGTGTATATAATAAATTATAGTGTGATCATTTGTTAATTAATTATATCTTTATTTGTCGATTAATTATATTTCTTTTAATTGTACAGAAAAGGGTTGACTTAACTTTAATGTATAACGATGATGGAAACCTATACTGTAAATACTTAATATCGCATGAGATCACTTAACACTGGGGAATTTGGTTCACTAATAGCTACTTTAAGTTGTATTGATAACAGGATATTACAAAATGTCTCTAACAACAGTATATGTTAGAAATGCATGCACACAAGAAAATAGGTCTGTATATTTTTCACAAATCTTATATAGTAATAAAATAAAATATATAATGTTTAAAGAGTTTCTATATATATTATGTGAATATAAAGTAAAAGTAAGAGAAATGTGAATGTAAAGTAATGGAGAATTGATTTATAATTTAATAATATTTATAATAATTAAATTATATACAAATTTTATTGACAGATACATTCACTGTAGTACAAGCTATCAATGCCTTAGGCTTTGGAAAATTTCAAGTTAAACTGTCTTTATTCACGGGTCTTTGTTGGATGGTAGATAGTATGGAGATTACAATACTGAGTATTCTAAGTCCATCCTTACATTGTGACTGGGGTATTTCTAGATATCAGCAAGCATTGACCACAACAGTAATTGCTAAATTCAATCATTATTCTTATATATATATGTGTATCATATACACATACATGAATATTAAAATTTATTATTTTAGAAATTGAATTTTTAGGTAGTCTTCCTTGGCATGATGTTAAGCTCTACATTTTGGAATAATTTGAGTGACAGATATGGTCGTAAACAAGCTCTAACTTTATGTGCAGTACTATTATCTTACTATGCATTTCTAAGTTCATTTGCACCAAACTTTCTCTGGATTCTATTGCTTAGAGGAGTTGTAGGATTTGCTATTGGTTGTGTACCTCAATCGTAAGTATTTGGTAAGTTTCTTAAGGACAAGCAACTTATTTGCTTTACAATATATTATCACTGATAAATTTCTTTTTTGCAGAGTGACATTATATGCAGAGTTTTTACCAGCAAAGCAACGAGCGAGATGCGTTATTCTATTAGATGTGAGTTTATATTATAAATTTATAAGAGAAAAGAAGGAATTAAAATTATTTATTAAATAGATTATCTCTTTGTAATAAAAAAATATATATATATTGCTAGTGTTTCTGGGCTCTCGGGGCTTGTTTTGAAGTGGCAATTGCATTGATTGTTATGCCCAATCTTGGATGGAGATGGCTTCTTATATTATCATCCATTCCATTATTTATATTTGCTGTAATATCACCGGTTTGTAGTAAATTTATATAAATACTTTCAATATGTTATTCATATATATTAAAATATTAAGAAAATTTAATACATTTCTTAGAAATTTTAAGAAAATTGGATTATATCAAATAGTAGTATGTATTTGCAGTGGCTACCAGAATCTACAATATTCGATATGACAACTGGAAAAACAGATCGTGCAGTTTCGACACTGGAACGCGTAGCTAGAGAAAATAAAAAATCACTGCCTGTAGGAAGATTAGTTATGGACCGATTTTATCAAGCTAATCATGGTCGATTAAAGGATGTTTTAAGCAAAGAAATGTGCAAAACATCCGCTTTACTTTGGCTTGTATGGTAAATGCAAACTATAATGGATAAAGTTAAAAAATATTTTTTAAGTTAGACATGTTATTTGTTGCATTAATTTCTTTCAGGATGATTACAGCATTTTGTTATTATGGAGTGGTGTTAATGACTACTGAACTTTTCCGTACATCCTCAGAGCAATGTGGTACATGGGATCAAAATGAGAATATGTGCCAACTTGATTGTCGATTGCAGCGTGGCGATTATATTGATCTGCTTTGGACAACATTGGCAGAGTTTCCTGGCATATTTTCTACTGTCTTTGCAATCGAGAGAATAGGCAGACGAAAGACAATGGCCTGTCAATTAGTGATGTTTGCTATGGTCATTTGTTTTTTGAGTAGAACCTGCTTGTTAAGTAGAGCGGCGTTGACTATTGCCATATTTTTAGCCAGAGGTTTAATCGCCGGTGTATTTCAAGCCGCATATGTATACACACCGGAAGTGTATCCCACGCATTTACGAAGCATAGGTGTAAGTGCATGCAGCGCTATGGCACGAATCGGTGCTATGGTCACTCCTTATATAGCACAAGTATTTCTACAATGGTCCATCACAGGAGCTATGGCCATTTATGCGGCAACCGCATTGTGCGCTGCTATTGCTACACTTGCGCTTCCCGTAGAAACAAAAAATCAACAATCAAATGAAGCATGTCAAGAAAATAAATAGACAATTTTTATAACGTGCTTTAGTAAATTGACCGAAATTTGTTTTATTGCACATGTTATTTAGGACACTTACTACTTTTTACACATTTTACAATATATAACAATCACATTATATACAATTTTTGATTAAGAACTCACATATACATACATGTATTTTAGTTGTATTCGAATGTTTGATTGAATATGCAAACACAATTATTAATATATTCACATCTATTATTTAATTAAACGGGCATATTTTTATTATAAGTTATATACAATATATATTTTATCTATTTATTATAGTGTATAATGTTAACAAAAAAAATTTTAGTTGCAAAGGTTTGTGATTAGAATGTTAATTATAGAATCTAAAATATACAAAGACTGATATGTAATTTTCAAGAAAAGTGCCAAAAGGATTGATTATAAGATATTAATCATATATTGCTCTTTTAATTTTTTCATATACATAATCTTATTTTCAATATAAAAATTATAAGCAACTGAAAAAGACAATATTTTTTCAATGTTTTAAAAGAAAGATATTTTTTGTGTATAAAAATTTATATCAATTTTTATAACTTGTAACAAATACAGTAAATAAAGTTATTTTATGATTCTCAAAAAGTAGTATATTCTATATTTTGCATGTATTAATTAATGATGTATGTAAAATGAAATAATCCTGGATGCAATACCTCATTAATAATGTTTAAATAATTTTTTTATAATTAAAAGAAACTCTAAAATTAGATAATGGTTAAAATAATAAAAAGTTATTCAATAATCAAGATATAAGTGTAAAGAAAAAAAGAAAAGAATAACATGCTATTTTACATAAATAATATAATATTTAAGAGGTTTTAATAAACTTATATAAATCTATTTTCATATTAATATTTAGTATATATTTCTCTCATTGTAGCATACTTGTACAAAAAAATTTGGAAATAATATGTGATTAAATAATTAAATTTCATTTATATATCAATAACACTATTGTACAATTGTACATACATGTGCACGTGTCACATGTGGCTATTGGAGTAAAAAACATCAGCTGTCGTTTCTCTCCCATCACCTTCGTATCGTTTTCTGTGTTATAATAATTATCTCTTTATGTACATCAAAAGAATTTATCTATAATAAATACAAAACAATAATCAAGCACATTGATAAAAGCATTTAATATCGATTTTTCAAAATGGTAAGTATTAGCAAAAATCGGAGTTTTAGGTTAAGCAAGGATTAGTCACGCGTGACTCCTTATATGGTAATATGATTATGTAGATAGAAAAATGTTTCATTTTTATTTAGATTTTTTTAATAATAATGTCATAATGTAGGAAACAAATTTAGATATATTTTATATTATTTGTTAGATCGCTTTAAATTTATTTTTCTATTTTAGCAAGATCCAAATGAGGATACTGAATGGAATGATATTCTAAGAAAGAAAGGTATCATACCTGAAAAGAAAAAAGAGCAAGAAGTTACTGAAGATCAAATAGTAAATCTCTTGGAGAGTACTATAGATGAAAAAACAGGACGTGGTAATTGTTTTTTAATTTAGAAATAAGTTATATACCTACAAATAAATTATTACCTTTTAAATAGTTTTTATATTATTATTCGGTTACAGTTTCTAACAATTTAGAAGAAAAGACTTTGGATGAGTTAGACGAACTAGAAGATGAAGAGGATCAACGGATTTTGGAGGAATATCGGCAAAAGAGGATAGCAGAAATGAAGGCACTAGCAGACAAATCGAAATATGGGGAAGTACGAGAAATATCTGCGGAAGATTATGTTAGAGAAATCAATAAAGCTGAAGAGGATGTATGGGTTGTTCTACATTTATATAAATCTGGGTATGCAAGAACAATAAATTTTTGCAATAAATATTATGGCCAGAATATTAATTGAGTATATGCTTTTCATACAGAATTCCACTTTGTACTTTAGTCAATCAGTACCTTGCTAATTTAGCAAGAAAATTTCCTACCACAAAATTTTTGAAAAGCATCTCTACTACATGTATTCCTAATTGGCCTGACAGCAATCTTCCTACAATATTTATTTATCATAATGGAAATATGATGAAACAAATTATTGGACCACTTGAATTCCGTGGCATGAATTTGTCCGAAGCAGGTGATATATCTAAAGTATTCTAGAAAAGATAATACTCATACTAGAATGATTTTAAGTCTCTATTTATTATTCTGTAGAATTGGAATGGATGTTGGGACAAGAAGAGGCAGTACCAACAAAGATTAAGGATGATCCTCGACCTAAAGTCAGGGATGTCTTATTTTCCAGCTTGAAGAATCAAAATGGTGATTCTGAGGATGATAACGATTGGTAATTTTATATTATCAGATTGGCATAAGTAATTATATATAATATATAATAAGTATTATCAGATATATTATTTTATTATATATCATATTTTATTTATTTCACATTTACTATAACATACAAATGAATTCAATATTTGTAAAAGTTTTCAAAACTGCTATACCACAATTTTCTGTCATTTATTTTAATAAAAAATTTTATTATCATGTTATAAATCTATTTACTTTATACATGCTTAATTTTCCTGAATGCATTTAAAAGAAATTGATTTATTTAACAGATACAATATTTTTTAAAATTATTTATATTTAATATATACAATTTAATTTTAAAAATTAAAAATTGTATCTTACTAACATTAGTTATTATTTCTAGAACTAACAAATTAAAATATTTTCACAATTCAGCCATATCTCTTAATATAAAAGTAGTAAAAAATATGTATATTAAACAATCATTATTTTAAATTTAAATTTTGATAAAATTGTCTAGTTCGTATTATTTTGCCAATCAAACTCTTTCTCTCTTTGTTTATATTATAAAGTGTTATGATTGGTTAATTCTGACTTGGTTAATTCACATAGTATGTTGGTTCTCAAATCGCGGAAAGCTGTACATAATTTATATAGGAAAAAAAGGATAATTAGTAATGTATTTAAAAATTAACACTCATGTTATAAAGTGTTTAATTGATTCTGTACTGACAACGAGTTATTACCAAAGGCAGAAGGAATATATTAAATATCAACAACTTCCGAAAGAAGATAAGAAGTTTGCGAACCCCTGATTTAATGCGTTACACTTCAGACGCAAGTGGAAAACAATTTCTGAGATTCCTTCGCAATAAACCTTCTATATTTTTTTATATATAAAGACTCTTTTATGTACACATATCACATAGGAATCCGATTAAAGACGTACATTATTTTAACGTATCGACGCAAGTTACTAGCCTGGGATATCGAATGTTTAGAAAAAGAACCGCCTGTCGGGCGACAGTGTTTACAGTAAGCGTCCGTAGGATATCTTTTTTTCTATGCGATTATCGCTCTCAAGGACTTCTCAGGTTTCTTTTTCTGTTTAGCCATCAAGAAAGACGCGTTGAATCGCCGCTTGCCTTAATTTAGTTTCTAGTCTTGTGGGAGCAAGCGACTAATTCATTGTACGTATATCTGCATTGTGATAGTTATACTGATGCCGGAATTTTGGCGAATCTCTTGAACAATAAGACATAAAAGATAGTTCTCTCTATGTCCATGAAATGTGAGTCTGATATTAATATTTTTTTCTAATAATTAAACTGACATCTGTGTAAAAATTATTAATTGATGATAATGTATGTGTGCAGGGTTTCTTACAATGAGAGATTTATAAAGATTAATTTTATTTACTATATATTTTCACTTCGTATTTAATCGGTATTCATTCTATAATTGACATATATAATATAGTAATGTATAATAATGAGTATAGTAATGATAGAGTATAGTGAATCCCAAAAAACAGAAGAAAAGACGACGATTATGTCATGTTTGTTTTGTTTGTTTATTACTTAATATTTAAAGTCATAAATAATTTTTTCAGTCATAGATATCAGTCGGAATTTTATTGCGCGCACTTATCTTTTGTGAGAGATTGTAACAAATCTTTAATTAAGAAAACTTCACAGAGTTTGAATGGGGCTTGATTTCCTTATAACAATAATTTTTAACAATAATTTAATTTTATTATGATTGATTTCTCATATTTTTCTTAAATTTGAAAAAAGGACAAATGATTAAATTTATTTTATATGTACTTGTTGCATTTTATTTTAAAAATGAGATAGAAAATAGAATTAAGAGGGATTTTTTAGTTAATATTTAAATAAAGTTAATATTTAAATAGTATCCGTTGATGATTCAGTTGTAAAATTCAAAATATAGAAATATTTAAATTTCCTGATAAACACATAGATTTCATGAATCTACATATTTTTATTATGTGTGTATGTATAAAATAGTTTAAGATTATCTTTGTATAAGCATCATTATTATTTACATATGCGTAGATAATTAATATTATGTTAAGACATGTGAATTAATATTATGTTAGATATGTGACATGTCTATGTCTGTTTTATTATATTATTGACAGTACTATTTTAGATAAGATAAAGAAGCTAATTTTATAGAGTTTATTTAACTAAATGGAAGTGAAAATATGTAGTAATGTTCTTTGAAATACCAATTGAATGCTTGATTTCATTACTTTAATTATGCGCTGCAATTATAGATTTAATAATTAATAAATAATTATACAACTTTACTGTATACAACTGTATACAACTTTATCTTCTATCATGACATTATCTTTTATATTATGACATAATTTAATTGATGTAGGCATGTATTTAAAAATGTTTGCACCAATTATTTTCTTTATTGACTAGAGATTTATGCATATCGAAGCAGAGTATGCAGGCACAGAATTGTAACATTGAAAGAAGTATGAAGGATACTGAAATATCTTTGCTTCTAATGGAATCTTCTAAACCCATTTTTGTTGATGATTTAAATATATTTGAAGAAGAAATTCTTGCAAACCAAACTACATTGCACAGTACACAACCTATACGGAATTTGCCTAATATCTTGAGAAATAATAATACAAGAATATATAAAAGTAATAAAACACTTATGTTAGATAAAATTGATACTTCCTTTATACCAGAAGATTTAAATACTTCTTTTGAGCTAAATACAATATTATCTAACATTGATTTAGAAATGGAAGCCAGTTATAGCAAAATTACATCACCAAAATCACACCATCAAAGAAAACAAATACATAATCCATTGGACTTATCGTATGACATGCCTGATAGGAATAATAATAAAGATAAAAACATGTTATGTAAAGTTAATCAATTAAATCCATTGCATATTTCAAGTTATAAAAAGAATACATCATTGAAGAGATTAAAATATAATAAACAAAAAGGAAATTTGTGTAACAAAAAACCAAGAAGATTAACAGGTCATAAATCTAATTGCAAAACGAGAAACAAATTTTATAAAAAGTCTTATGAAAAATTAGACTTTAATACAGAATTAACCATTTCACAAGTAAATATGGAAGAAAACGTTTCAATGCAAGATGTAAATGATATTTCCAGTAACATACTTACTGAATCTATCTATGAAACAAATACTTCAAACTATATAAATGATTTAAATGATATTGGAGCAAAATCAGTGGAATCATCTAATGTTTTTCATTGTAACAATGAAAATTATAAATTTGAGAAAAAGTATGACATAAATTACAATCCTATTATTTCTGGTAACTCAAAAGAGTTAATGCAGAATAAAAATGTTTTTGGAGAAAATCTTACAAATTATGAATTTCCAATAATGACAAATGACTTCGAAAAAGAATTGATAGATAAAGACGTTACTTCGAATATTTTACTGAAACCTAAATTACTATATACTTGTACTTGTGCAAATTGTATGTTACAAGATAAAGATATTATATTTTATGAAGAGCAAGTTTCAACTTCTATAAATAAAAATATGGAAACAGAACTTTTTACATATGACTTTAATACTGGTGATTATTATGGTGATATACTTGGTGACAATTGGTTAGAAGAATTAGACAATAAAAATCTTTATCATGAAAAGTTAGAAGAGACGCATATTATAGAGAAAAATTTATGTACTAGTAACGATAGCATAACAAAACTAGTTGAAAACAATGCAAATATATCATTGATGGAACAAACTAAATTACAAAATTTGCAATCTCATCATATTGATAAAGCACAAAATAATAATAATGTAGAATCATGTTCTACAGAAATTGTTACGCAATCTAATGGACCAATAAATTTTTTTAATTCTTCAGAAAATATAGATATTTTTAATGAAATGAATTACCTGAATTTAGAAAACAGTTTAATAAAAGAAAACAAAATAGTTTCTCAAGATAAATCATTCATTCAAACTACAATCTCAACTGATGTATCTGTGTTCAAATCCAAGGAAATATCACAAGCAAACAAGCAAGGTAAATAAAAGAGAATGAAGAATAAGAATATATATAATTATAATAAATTATTTAATTTTTCTCTATTATATATCTTTTTCTATTTTTTTATATATTTAAATCTTATTATGTATATAAATATACATATAGCAAAGTGAATATTTAGTAAATGAAAACAAATAATTTTTTGTTTCAGATTTATATGTTATTCAATGTGCTCAATGTGAAAGAATATTTCATGAAAAACATCAGTTTAGGAAACATTTTACTCACTGTGACTTTTACAAAGAGGATTTTAAATGTCATATCTGCAATAAAATATATAGGTAAGATTATAGATAAACAATGAAAGATTACTTGCTGTTTTGATAGCACATATTTATTATAACACATTTACAGACATAAATCATCATTAGCTCAGCATCTGAGGATTGTGCATCATATATTAGATGGTCCTTATGAGAAGTACTATACTTGTAACAAGTGTTTAAAATCATATGTTAGATTTCGTGCTTTTCAAAAACACATACTTCTTCATGATGATTAGTAAATAGATATAAATAAAACATTAACAATAATTCGTTTTCGATATGATATTTGCAGATTAATGTAATTTACATAAGTTATGAATATTGTTCTTGAACATCACAAAAATACATATAGAAACATAATTATTCACTTTAAATATTTACAGTAATTCAAGATTTTATAATAATAATTTTACATTTGATAAATATGTTTTATATTAATATTTAATTTTTTTATTTTTTATGTTATTAATTTTTAGTTATTCGGAAATGTTCTTTGTTTATATTTTCTTAGTAATATAATCTTTTTTGTTTATAAAGTTTATATATTATAGCGTGCTTTTTTATTTTTTGTACATCGCAAATTCTTTGCTGAACTAAAGTTTTAAGTATATAAATATATAACAGTGGCTCTTATTATTTAATCAATCTCGATTTAACTCCCATTTTAATAAAATTTTGATTTAAAGCTAAAATTAAAAATATTTAATATCAAAAAATCATTTTAGGTCTCTCAAAAGAATAGCAACTAAAGAAAAATATAGCAATGATAAATTATCATTAATAAAAAACGGAAAGTGTTTTCTTTGTAAGATTATAGTGTTATCTTTGTAAGTGTTATTATCTTTGTAAGATTATTTTTCTTTGTAAGATATTTTATAAGAAATTTTACAAGAAATTCAAAGAACATAAGTTAAGCATAGCAGTTTAATATAATATATTAATATTTGATTAATATTATTTAGTTTTAGTTTCTTTATATGTGTTCTTTTTACTCATTGAGATATAACACCAAAATTTGATAAGTTTTGACATTCTACTCATGAAAGAAGATTATATAATTATAAGTGAAATTTGGTAATTTGGTATAATTTATTTTAGAAACAATCTCTGCCACATATTAGTTTTTTAAATATTTATATATGTATATATATATATATATATATATATATATATATATTTATATTTATATTTTTGTATTCTATACTTCTATATATTCTGATAATTTATCAATGTTTACTATTATTAAATATACACAGTACATTTAGTTATATACGTATATAGTTATATATGTATAATACAGTTTTATATACACGTGCACACGTATAACACATACACGCATATATATATATATATATATATATATATATATATATATATATATACATATATATGTATGTATATTTAGTTGGATGTTCATTATTGACTTTTTCCAATTTATTATATTTCTCCTAGACTCTATAATAGTTTCTAATAGTTCCATAACTGTAGTAGGATGAAATCATTAAGGGATTCTCTCTACGATGTCCTAGCTAAGATTAATTACTAGTTGAAATTATATATCATTATTAAATTTCGGAAATAAAGAAGAAAATGTTTTCTCTAATACACTTGATTTATAATTTCTATTATAAAGGTACAAAAATTATAATTTCATAAAGATAAAGAAGATACGGTCAGCATTTTAGGATGTGTTTTTTGTTAAAATATGTAAAAGGTAAGTGCGATATACAAAAATGTATATCTTTTGTGTAATTATATTTGATGTGATTTATATATCAATTGAAATTTTGCAGCAAATATAATAAGTTGTTCGTAAATATGAAGTGTGAGATCAAAGGAAATAATCTAGAAAAGAGTATTAGAATAGAGTGGAGAATAATATTATGCCAATGGGATAATTTCATGATTATTTTCTATAATAATGTGATGTGAATAATTATGTAAAGAAAAAAGAATAATTTGTTAGGTAAATTAACGATTATTTTATTTCAAACAAAATTGCTGAACATATTTGCAACTAGAGTCGACACATCTTGAAATATCATTCATTTTTTATTGATTAATTTACTTAAATGAATAAACTTTAGCAAGAAGTTATTTAAACTTATATATTGTATATTTTTTATTCTATTTATAAATTTTAAATAATTTAAATTAAAAATTTAGATTTTAAAAAAATCTTAAGCCGAGAAAAATCTTAATATTCTTATCATTTAGATATTGTTTTATTGCATAGAATTTTAGGAAGTAAAACTAAACAATTATTGTATTTTTAAAAATAACTATCGAAAATAAATATCGAATAAATTAATTCTATTTATAGTTGCAGCAATCTTAAAATATATCTTCAAAAATACTGATGATATTAAAATAATCTTAAGTTCAACATATTTCTATTTAATGTAATATATCTGAGATTTTTTTCATTCACAGGAGTGATTTGCAATAGCAAGACTTTAATAGATATTGAATTATGACTTTTTTATGTTGTAAATTTTCATTTTTAAGTAAAGCATTCTAATACTGTTGTAGTGTTTTTTTTTAAAAAGAATCAATTTGTATTCCAAAGAATGCTGATGTAATTTGAAAATTTTATATTTTATAACAATATAGTAAATATTATGAAATTTTTAAAATTTTAAATGTAATTATGTAAATACTTGAAATCAAATGGTGAAGATTTTATCCGTTATCAATTTAATAATTATTATTGACATTTATATGTATTAATATTATTTATATGTACATATATTTAATATTCCATATTTTTTGAAAATCTTATTCATATGTTTTATTAATATTTTATTATTTTTTATTAATATGAGTAAATTATTGGATAATGAACATTGAGTGAAAATAATGCATTCTTATTCATTTCGAATAAAACGAAATCAAAACCGAGTTAATGCAATTATTGCATACATACATATATATATATATATATATATATAATAACTGAGTAAATTTAATAACTGAATATAATATTATTATTATGAATATATATATATATATATATATATATATATATATATGAATTTATCGGTATTTGACAATTTGTTTCTTCGATATCTGCTGGAACGAAGTGATCCGATGACGTCACGTGGACGTCATCACGATCTCCCGCGCAATATGGCGTCGACTAATCTTCCTTCGCTTCTACGTTCGCTAGCAGTTTTTCACGGAAAAGGTAATTACAATTTCTTAAATCGAATAAATATGCTTTCCGGACGAAATAATATCTGAAGTACGTATGATTAATCGATGAAGGAATGAAAGAAAATTTGGAAATGTTCATAATATTGTAGAATTTAGTGTGCCTTGTGAAAGAGTAAGAATTCGATTTACTTCGATTGACTTCAGTTCACCTCGATTGACTTTATGTTTGCATCTTTCGCAAATAATATATAAATAATAATAATAGAATTAATCTACAGCGAGTATATATTGATTTTTAGTATGAATTGATTTTTTCAAGTACACAATCTTTTAACGAAAGTGAAAACAGTTTGTGAATACGTACGTAAATCAGATAACCAAAAAAAATTCGTTTTCGATAGAAAACGTAGAGAAAAGTAAGAACTTTCTTGGTTATCTTTAATACGTAATAAACAAGAAGAAATTTAATATTTATTAAATTGAATATTTATCAATTAAGAGAAATACATACATGATTATTATTATATTATTATAATTCTAAACTATATAAATTCTAATTAATTACATATATAATAGAATATGATAAATTAATATAGTAAAATGTAATAATTTCGTATTGATTGTTCTGTACATAATCTTTCAAAGTAATATGTTCATACATATTCAATAATTCTTATAAATTTTATAACATACATTTTATTTTTCTTTGATGAATTAAATAGTTACGATTATATTAATTAATCTAATATATAATAATGAATAAAATAAAATATTTTTTAAAATGTAAAATATGTAGGTATATAATTGTAAAAATTTTATATATTTCTCACGATTTTAATACATACATTGAGTTAGATTTAACGAGACAGAATATGCTTTTTACATTTATGTATGATATTTATGTATAATTGCTACAAACATTTCAACATATACATTTACTTTATGTCTTTTGTGTTGTAGAGAGTGTGGAGTCGTCTAGAGAAGATAAATACAGTCTCTCTCTCTCTCAGCCGTGTATTCATTCCGATTCGGTCTAGTGTTCGGATAGGACGCTCTTCGCTGGCACGCGTGTTCGACAAAGTTACGCGAAGGTTAAAGGCATCGTACGTTACGCGAAGTAAACTAATACAACCGCCCGATTAATAATAGTAATAAGTGCAATATTTATTACCGGGATAATATTTTAGTGCATCGAATAAAGTGATTTTTTAGCTAAAATACTATTACATTCAGTTGTAACGTTTCGTTATCTGATTGCGGCATCGGAGGATCCGATTCGGGCCAAGTAGGACCTATTCGAAGGTAGATATATTATATTTATTTTAATAAATTATATTTGAAATTTAATTTCAGGTTATAATGTTTTTTAGACAGAAGTTATAATTTTTTTAGAGAAAATTATTAATGATTGTATATTTAATATTCCAAGTGTATCAAGAAACTTTAGAAAAGTTTATACGATACATTATATATATCTCAAATTGTTTCTTTATAATTAAATCGCTGTGTTTAATTTATTTGGCAATTTATTGGCCGATTATTATAACATCTTTTCTTATCAGTTAATATTTAGATTATATTAATTAATATTTATATAAGTTATATAATTACAATATATATTTAGTAATTTAATAAAATAAAATAACTTCTTATTTATTATTTCTTGCCATTTCTTTTCGTTTTTCTTTTTGTTTATGTATAGTATTTAGTAATTTTTATATTTTAATATATATAGATTTTATATATATATATATATTTTTTTTTTTCAACATATTACAAAATACGATATTAATAATTTAATAATATTACAATAAATACTGTATTAATTTGTTGCAATATCTTTGTTAAATTAATGATATTTCTTGGTGTTTTAATTAAAAACCAAGAAATATCATTGATTTAATTTGATTTTTAATTAATGTTTTCTAAAAATAATTTATAATTTTTATTTAAAAAATTACTATTTACTTAAAATTAAAATTCAAAAATCAATTTATTGGTGAACATTTTTATCGATAATATTTTTTCGCATTAATAATATATTTATTTGTATTCTCATTTGATATATTTATTTGTATTC